AATCATTTTTAGTTCTCCCTTTCACCTGCCAACATTCATTTGATTACCAGTCCTATTACTATTACTTACACAATGAATCTCAAATTTTTCTTACTTATTTATTTATTTAGAGCCAGGGACTCGCCATGGAGCCCAGGCTAACTAACCTGGAACTCAGAATCATCCTTCCTCAACCTCCTGAGTGCTGGGATTACAGGAACGTGCCAGAACATAAATCTATTTTCCTGCCCATGCAGGAAATGGGATTAAAGACTCTTTATTTTTTTTGGCTATACTGGGGTTTGAATTCAGGGCTTCACACTTGCTAGACAGTTGCTCTGCCACTTGAGCCACTCTGCCAGCCCTCCTTACCTTATTTAGCCCAGGCTAGTCCCCAAATCCTGGACTCAAGTGATCCTCCTATCTCAGCCTCCTAAGTAGCTGGAACTATACCCAACTTCATCTTAGTTGTTTTATTTTTGGCAGTACTGGAGGTTGAACTCAGGGCCTCATGCTTCCTAGGCAGGCTGTCTTACCTCCAGTCCTTTTTGTTTTGGTTATTTTTGAGATAGGGTCTTGTTTTATATCCAGGCTGACCTCTATCTACTGCAATCCTCCAGTTTGTATTTTCTGGTGTATTTAGGATGATAAGTTCATGCCACCACTATGGCTCACCATTTTTTAGAGGGAGTCTCATGAACTTTCTTGCCCGGGCTAGCCTTGAACCATGAGCCTCCTGATCTCTGCCTCTTAAGTAGCTAGGATTACAGGCTTGAAACACCACGCCTGGCCTATCTTTGTTTTTTCTACTGCCCCAGTACTATTTACTTTGATTACTACTTAGGGTTTTGTTTTTTGTTTTGGCGGTGGGGGGGGGAGGGGGCGGGGTTTGTACTAGGGCTTGAACTCGGCCTAGAGCCACTCCACCAGTCCTTTCTTTGTGATGGGTTTTTTTGAGATAGGATCTCTGAACTATTTGCCTGGGCTAGCTTTGAACCTCAAACCTCAATCCTCCTGATCTCTGCCTCCTGAGTAGCTAGGATTACAGATGTGGAATATGCTCCCCGCCTGTCTTCCATGGTGGTGATTTTCTGCTTCATATTTCATACTGCTGTTTTCTTCTCACTTCTTCCACCCTAACACATATGCTTTGTTTATATCTCTGTGCCTTTACTCTTTCTATTTCCTTTGCTTGGGGCAACCACTTTCCTCTTAAAATCATGTTTACATATGGAGATGGTTTAAATATCCCTTTCTCTGAAACCCTCTTTCCCATTCTTCTGCCCTCATCTTTTATGTCTTAGGCATAATTGCTTAGTCTTTCTGCTTGTATAGTTCTTGCTCATATTCCTCTTATGACACATAATTTCCTGGTTGCTTATTTGTGTATATTATGCCTGCCTTTCTAGAGAATAAGTTCCTGGAGGACAGGAGTCATTTCTGTCATTGAAGGCCCAGCACCTAATGAAATACCTTTTCTTCACTGGTACTTTTTCTTCACAGATACTTGCTGAATTGAATGAATAAACAACTCACTTTAGTTCTGTAATCATTAGGATCAAAGGTAAATTACTGAGTCACTGCTGACTTAAATCAGAGGACCCTACTGAAAGTCATTATGTATGTGGAATCCAAGAAGCTTTTGCTCTTATGCTGTAATCCTTCAGGATCTTCCTAATCCCTCAACTCTCAGATTATTACCCTTTTTATCTGTAAATCAACTCTAAAATCTAACTGCAGATGTAGTGCCCGTCAACCTGGCTGAATTGGTTCTTTGAAAGGAGTAGTTACCCAAACCTTTTGCTGAGGAGATTGCCTTTTTGCCACAGCCTTCCCCAGTTCCCAGTCTGGAGACAATAGTTTCCTGAGACATTCCAGACAGAAGAAGCTTTTTGATCTTCAACTGTCCTGTGTCTCCCCCTCATCCTCCCCATCCCTATAATTTATCTGATCTGGGAGCTAGTGATGGAAGGTATTTGAAGGAAACCCAACATTCCACCTCATTGGCAAGGCCACACAGACTCCCAGAAGGGCCCAAGGAAGGACTGGAAGCTGTCTCTAGCCTTGATCATTCTTCCAGCTGCTGCTTCAGAACTATTGGAGCTTTAATTCTCACTTGCTTTCGTGTAGGCTCCTCTGGAGAAAGACCCCAGTATCTAAGCTGGTACTCAGGTCCTCATCTCTGATTTAAGGCAAATCAATTCTGAGAAAGGACTTCTAGGCAGGAGGACAGAAAGATAGGAAAACAGAGAACCAGTTCCTTCTAACTCTAATTTTCGTGGAAGCCAGCTACTCACAGGTGCAGAAATGATTACCTATGAGTGGCATCTTATGCTGAGAGAGTCTGGTAGAGTTGGGCTCCAGTTTAATAATCCATACATCTTCTTTTATCTCCACGTTCACATTCCCTTTACACACTCTATGCCCTCCTTTCACATTTTATAGTCTTGCAGTTTAATACATACAGGCGTACTATGTGTATTAGTCATCAGAGAAGTCCTTTCTACATTCTTGCCACAGACCAGACTTTCTCCTATGTCTGCTGACCTCTGGTGGTGATAGTTTGAGTGGTACTCTTCCTTTCTAGTTAGTGGCCTACTGGCAAATAATGCTGCATATTTTCTCAACAATCCTAATTGAAATAGTGCAATTATTGTACGCAATGGAAATATTTTTTTCATTGCTGAATTTTGCATTTTTCAGACAGCATTGTATGAGACAAAGATTAATGTTTGGGCTTTGTAGTCAGACTTACCTAGGTTCAAATCCCAGCTCTAGTATTTCCTAGCAGAGTGACCTTGAGCAATTTACCTAAGCTGAATTTTCTTACCTGTAAAATGGACATAACAATAAATATCTTTGGGCTAGAGGCATGTCTCGAGCAGTAGAGTGCCTACCTAGCACATATGCAGTCTGCTGAGTTCAAATCCCAGTACTGCTCCCCGCCACCCCCCCAAAAAATTATTAGAAAAAATAATAAGTATCTCAGTGGGAAAGTTAGATGGCTGTGTCCTTTCATATAGTAGATGCTCAATAAAAAGTTTTCTCCTCAATAATAGTGGTTTGCTCCCTGTGTAAGTCAATGTGGTTTTTTTGTTGCTGTTTTTGGTTTTTTTTGTGGTACTGAAGCTGGGAATTTAACCCAGGGCTAGGTACATGCTAGGTAAGTGCTCTATCAAGCTACATCCCCAGCTGTTTTTTTTGTTGTTTTGTTTTTTTTCATTATTGTAAAATGCATACAGCAAAATTTACAAGGCTAGGGGGCAAGGTTCAAATGGAAGGCAGCTGTGCTCACCGCTATACCACTAGTGCCCACCCGAAAAGTTCACATGGTAGAGCACCTGCCTAGCAATACAGCAAAATTTACAAGGCTAGGGGGCAAGGTTCAAATGGAAGGCAGCTGTGCTCACCGCTATACCACTAGTGCCCACCCGAAAAGTTCACATGGTAGAGCACCTGCTGGTGATGTGACCATTTGTTGTAGCAACAGTGCAGCCATGCCTATAGTGGCTTTGAGTATTACTGAATCTGTGATTGAGGATTGTTGCTGAAACAGGTCTGTAAAGAAGGGTTGACACAGAGATATTTTTGGTCTTCACACCTTCTTCTCCAGCTGGCCCCAGAGGTGACATGGCTCCAGAGCCTCTTGGACAAGGACTCTATATCTACAAGACTGGGGCACAGCCTCCGGCGAGGCAGATGTTTACTCTCTGGCTCTGCTCCTATGGGAGATCCTGAGCCGCTGCCCAGATTTGAGGCCTGGTAAAGTTCCATACCTGGTTCCCTACCTGCTCATTCTAAGCTCATCTACTTCCTGACCTGGTTCAGAGAGTGGTGACCTTTTCCTGCTTCTCTACATGGGAGGCACTTCCAGTGTAAGCTGACACCCAGCCCTATACCTTCCCCCAGAAGCAGACCACCACCCTTCCAACTGGCCTATGAGGCAGAACTGGGCAGCACTCCTAGAACCTGTGAGCTCTGGACTTTGGCAGTAGAGGAGAGGAGGCGCCCTACATCCCATCCACCTGGAGCTGTATTGCCACAGTAAGAGACCACAGGCTGGCTGCCTGGGGACCTGTAGTATGAGACTTGGACATAGGCTTCAATGACTTCTCTGCCAGGGCCAGTCCATCTACTCCTGTCTCCTCTCTTCTCTTACCACTCCCTAGTTCATGTTTATGTAACTGTAAAGCTGCACCCTTCTGCCTACCTGAGACACACACCTTCCTGCTGAGACTTGCCTAGCCCCTCTCTCCCCTCCATCATCAGGCAGCCTTGTACCTCAGTCTTCTCTAGGAAGCCCTCTGACTTTGTTCCTACTTGAGCTCTGCCCCTAAAATGCTGCCTCTTCTGGACCCTAAAATTCAAGCCAGTGACCCCTCATTCTGTCCCATGTCTATATTTCTGATTGACTCAATAAAAGCCAGTTTTAGGTATAATGGATTAGAGTAGCTGCTTCACAGTGAAAATTTAGGGATCTATATAAATGATTTCCTAATGAGATGCTCCCTTTCCTGTTGTTCTGAATTTCTACTGTACAAATAGAATTACATATGGAAGGGTTAGGTAATAGAAGGCAAGCTGTTGTCTGCAGACAACTTGGTTGCCTGAGAGAAAAGAGAGTAACTTTCTAAGGGCTGGCAAAGTGGCTCAAGTGGTAGAACATCTGCCTAGCAAACATATGGCCCTTAGTTCAAACCCTAGTATTGCCAAAAAAACAAAACAAAGTTAAAGAGTGTAACTTTCCATTAGTATGTCAAGTTGTCATGCTCCTCAGAGGAAAAGGTAGAACTATAGAAGGCAACCAAGAACCTGTCTCATAGGGAACACACCTCAGAGGGCTAGACTTCAGTGAGGAAGGAGGAGAGGGAAAGTCCAGGAAGGATCAGAAGTGGAGTGTTGAAAACAAGATGGAACTGATGGGGCTGGGATAGCTTAGTGGTAGAGCATGTGTTTAACATAGATGAGACCTTGGGTTTGATCCCCAGCACTGCAAAAAGGAAAAGGAAAAGAAAAAGAAAATGGCAGTAGTGGACATTGAAGATGGCTTTCAATCCTGGGGTTCACTCCAGTCCCTGGAGTTAAACTTGCCTCCTGGTTATTCTTTCCAGGACCCCAGTGGGCTGAGGGAGCTCCTAGAGGACTGTTGGGATGCAGACCCAGAAGCACGGCTGACTGCTGAGTGTGTAAGCAGCGCCTGGCAGCCCTGGCCCACCCACAGGAGGCCTACCTTTATCCAGAGGACTATCCACACAGCTGTCTACCTCTCTTCTCAGAAGACTATCCCTCAACACCTGCTGCTGACATTCTCCCCTGTAGGAGCGGCCTTAGCTGAGTGCCTGCCACGTCAGTGTTCAGCAAGGCCCTAGCTCCAGTTCTCATTTGTAAATGAGCAATTTATGTGGAATCTATGTACATGTAAACAAAAATGTAGTTATCATATATTTGTTTGGTCTGCCTGTCATTGCCTTTCCCACTTGCTGAATCATTCAATTCTTCTGTGGACATCCAGTCCATGGTGGATCTGACTAATGAAAAGGGATAGGCACGCACAGGAAAGAAAATAAAGTTAGCTTTCCTGACTCTCTTCCTTGGGCCTTCTTCCCTTCCTGTGACTCTGAGCCCTCCCTCTCATTTATCTTTTTTTCCACCAGCATTTATTTATGTGTTTTTTGTTCATTTGGTGAGACTGGGGTATGAACTCAGGGCTTCCTACTTGCAAAGCAGGCACTCTACTAATTGAACTATATTTCCAGTTCATTTTGCTGTGGTTATTTTGGAGATGGGGTCTTGGGAACTGTTTACCTGGGCTAGCCTCACACTGTGATCCTCCTGATCTCAGCCTCCCAAGTAGCAGGGATTAGGTGTAAGCCACTGGTGCCCTGCAACATTTATTTATATATATATATTTTTTTCTTTTATTCATATATGCATACAATGTTTGGGTCATTTCTCCCCACTTCCCCCTATTTATATTTTTTAAAATATTTATTTATCTTTTTTTTTTTTGTGGTACTGGGGTTTGAACCCAGTTCCTACACCTTGAACCATTCCACCAGTGTAAGGGTATGTCCTTTGAGCCCTTCTGGGAAGTTCTACTTTTTGGATACCTACTCTAATCCCAATCTAGGCTAAACGCCACTCCCTGGATAATGTTTTGTTGCTGTTTTTTGTTTTTTGTGAGACTGGCAGGTACTCTACTGCTTGAGTTATGCCTCCAGTCCATTTTGCCTTGGTTAATTTGGAGATTTGGTCCCACAAACTATTTGTCCAGGCTGACCTCGAACTGTGGTCCTCCCAAGTAGGTAGGATTACAGGCATAATCAACCAGTGCCAGCCTGGATGATCTTTTTTTTAGAGAGAGGGTCTCAAGGTATAGCCCAGGCTAACCTTGAACTTGAGATTCTCCTGTGCTGTGATTGTAGTCATGGACCTTGACGCTAGGCTGCTGTTGCTGCTTTCTTCTTTTTGCAGTGTTTGGAGTTGAACCCAGGGCCTCACACATGCTAGGGAAGTGCCCTAAGACTAAGCCACGTTCCCAACTTTCTGAATAATCTTTTTATGTTTGTTTTTTTGTTTTCGTTGGCACTGGGATTTGAAGTCAGGGCTTTATGTTTGCTAGGCAGGTGCTCTACCACTTGAGTCACTCCACCAGCCCTGTTTTTTATTGGGTATTTTTGAGATAAGGGTCTCCAGAACTATTTCCCCAGACTGGCTTTGAACCTCGATCCTCCTGATCTCAGAAGGTGCCCAGTCTGAATAATCCTTAAATACAATTTTCATTTGTCTTGCCTTTGCTCAACAGCCTACTTGTGTTTTCCACAGCAATCCTGTGAGCACCATTAACAGAAAAGGAAACTAAGGGCTTAAAGAAGTTCAGAAGTTGGGTACCACCAGTGACTCACGCCTGTAATACTAGCTACTTGGAGGTTGAGATCTGGAAGATCACAGTTCGAGGCTAGCCAAAACAAATAGTTTCACAAGACATAATCTCCAAAATAACCAGAGCAAAATGGACAGGAAATGTGGCTCAAGTGGTAGAGTGCTTGTTTTGCAAGCAACAAAGTTCAAACCCTACTCCAGGCACAGTTGTTGGCACAGAATGGCACTCAATAATGTGGATTTCTTTGAAAATTGCTTTGGTTTTTTTTGTTTGTTTTGGTGGTACTGGGAATTGAACATAGGGCTTCTCATATGCTAGGCAAGCACTCTATCACTTGAGCCATGCCTCTACCTCCATAATAGATATGTTTTGTTGGCATGGCAGAATGGCTAAAGTGGAAGAGTACCTGCTTAGCAAGCATGAGACTCTGAGTTCAAACCCCAGTACTTCCCCCCCACAAAAAAAAATTATCATAAATACTGTTTGTTGAATGGGGGACTCTATTGCTCCTTTTCTTCCTATTCCTACTTTCTCTCTACTGGTTGCTCTTCTGTCCACCACCTCTAGCCATCCATGTCTACACAGGCCTGACCCTTCAGACTTTGCTCTGTCTCCTCTGTCTCCTCTGCCTTGGTCCAGGTCCTCTTAGTTGGCATAAGTGGTGACTCTTGAGTCAGATGGCTTGGATAGAAGTTCCACTTCACTCTCACCAACTAACCTCAAACAAGCTTACTCAGCTTCCTCAAAACTGGGGTGATCAGGATACCCCCCTCCTAGGGTCATCATGAGGCGTGTAGGAGACCCTGTGCTCGGGCCTGGCCACAGCACAGTTGACTTAAAGCTTTTATCTTGTTTTTTGGTTTGTTTGTTTGTGACAGTGTCTCACTATGTAGCTTAGGCTGACCTGGAACTCTCTATGTAACCCAGGTTGGTCATGAGCTTCTGCAATCTTCCTGTCTCAGCCTCTTGGGTGCTGGGATTACAGGTATATCCCCCTGCACCCAGGTTTTGGTTTAGCCTTTTTTTTTTTTTTTTTTTTTTGGTGGTACTGGTTTTTTTGGGAGTTTGAACTCCGGTCCTCAAACTTTCTAGGCAGACACTCTTACTGCTTGAGCCCTTTTTTGTGATGGATTTTTTTCAAAATAGAGTCTTTCTTGCAAACTATTTGCCAGGGGCTGGCTTCAAACCATGATCCTCCTGATCTTTGCCTCCTGAGTAACTAGGATTACAGGTATAGCATCTGCATCTGGCTTATTTTATTTTTTATGAGACCAAGTTTCACTATATACAACAGGCTGGCTTCAAACTTGCTATGCAGCCCACAATGCCTTGGAACCCCCACTATCCTTCTGCTTCAGCTTCCCTAGTGCTGTGATTATAGGTATATACCACCATGTTAGAGTTGCTATTTTTTCTAGCACTCTGATGCACATTTTCACTCCTTATTGTCTGTAGTCTTGGCCTGGGTCTATCAGGGTGTCTGCCTGTTGGGGTGGTGCAGTGTAGGGGTGGGAGTGAGTCTGTCAATTGATCTCTGTTTTCTGGGATGATCAGTTGCCTCTAGCTTTGTATGTTCCCCTCTTCTCTCTGCTTTTCTCCAGGGTTCCCTGTGCCACTACTTGACCCAGCACACTAGTGACTGGAGAAGTTCCCTGCGGATGGCACTGTCCCTGGCCCAGGGGTTGGCATTTCTCCATGAGGAACGCTGGCAGAACGGTAAGTGAGCTGACTGCAGGGAGCCACAGGAAACAGGAACTACATTGCCATGTGTCTGATTCTCCCTTAGATTTAAGAGGAAGTATTGGGTTAAAAGAGCGAGAGAGAGACAGAAGATCTGTGTCCTGTCAACCTTATATTTCCCCACAGGTCAATATAAACCAGGCATTGCTCACCGAGATCTAAGTAGCCAGAATGTGTTCATTCGGGAAGACAGGTCATGTGCCATTGGAGACCTAGGCCTTGCTTTGGTACTCCCTGGGCTCACTCAGCCCTCTACCTGGGCCCCTAGTCAACCCCAAGGCCCAGCTGCCATCATGGAGGTGAGTATTCTGGATAAGGATGAGGATCAGGATGATGGTGGTGCTGCTGATGGTGATGTGACCATTGTTGTAGCAACAGTGCAGCCATGCCTATAGTGGCTGAGGTATTACTGAATCTGTAGTTGAGGGGATGTTGCATGAACTAGGTCTGTAAGAAGGGTTGACACAGAGATAATTTTTGGTCTTCCACACCTTGCTCTCCAGGCTGGCACCCAGAGGTACATGGCTCCAGAGCTCTTGGACAAGACTCTAGATCTACAAGACTGGGGCACAGCCCTCCGGCGAGCAGATGTTTACTCTCTGGCTCTGCTCCTATGGGAGATCCTGAGCCGCTGCCCAGATTTGAGGCCTGGTAAAGTTCCCATACCTGGTTCCCTACCTGCTCATTCTAAGCTCATCTACTTCCTGACCTGGTTCCAGAGAGTGGTGACCTTTCTTCCTGCTTCTCTACATGGGAGGCACTTCCAGTGTAAGCTGACACCCAGCCCTATACCTTCCCCCAGACAGCAGACCACCACCCTTCCAACTGGCCTATGAGGCAGAACTGGGCAGCACTCCTAGAACCTGTGAGCTCTGGACTTTGGCAGTAGAGGAGAGGAGGCGCCCCTACATCCCATCCACCTGGAGCTGTATTGCCACAGTAAGAGACCACAGGCTGGCTGCCTGGGGACCTGTAGTATGAGACTTGGACATAGGCTTCAATGACTTCTCTGCCAGGGCCAGTCCATCTACTCCTGTCTCCTCTCTTCTCTTACCACTCCCTAGTTCATGTTTATGTAACTGTAAAGCTGCACCCTTCTGCCTACCTGAGACACACACCTTCCTGCTGAGACTTGCCTAGCCCCTCTCTCCCCTCCATCATCAGGCAGCCTTGTACCTCAGTCTTCTCTAGGAAGCCCTCTGACTTTGTTCCTACTTGAGCTCTGCCCCTAAAATGCTGCCTCTTCTGGACCCTAAAATTCAAGCCAGTGACCCCTCATTCTGTCCCATGTCTATATTTCTGATTGACTCAATAAAAGCCAGTTTTAGGTATAATGGATTAGAGTAGCTGCTTCACAGTGAAAATTTAGGGATCTATATAAATGATTTCCTAATGAGATGCTCCCTTTCCTGTTGTTCTGAAATTTCTACTGTACAAATAGAATTACATAATGGAAGGGTTAGGTAATAGAAGGCAAGCTGTTGTCTGCAGACAACTTGGTTGCCTGAGAGAAAAGAGAGTAACTTTCTAAGGGCTGGCAAAGTGGCTCAAGTGGTAGAACATCTGCCTAGCAAACATATGGCCCTTAGTTCAAACCCTAGTATTGCCAAAAAAACAAAACAAAGTTAAAGAGTGTAACTTTCCATTAGTATGTCAAGTTGTCATGCTCCTCAGAGGAAAAGGTAGAACTATAGAAGGCAACCAAGAACCTGTCTCATAGGGAACACACCTCAGAGGGCTAGACTTCAGTGAGGAAGGAGGAGAGGGAAAGTCCAGGAAGGATCAGAAGTGGAGTGTTGAAAACAAGATGGAACTGATGGGGCTGGGATATAGCTTAGTGGTAGAGCATGTGTTTAACATAGATGAGACCTTGGGTTTGATCCCCAGCACTGCAAAAAGGAAAAGGAAAAGAAAAAGAAAATGGCAGTAGTGGACATTGAAGATGGCTTTCAATCCTGGGGTTCACTCCAGTCCCTGGAGTTAAACTTGCCTCCTGGTTATTCTTTCCAGGACCCCAGTGGGCTGAGGGAGCTCCTAGAGGACTGTTGGGATGCAGACCCAGAAGCACGGCTGACTGCTGAGTGTGTACAGCAGCGCCTGGCAGCCCTGGCCCACCCACAGGAGGCCTACCTTTATCCAGAGGACTATCCACACAGCTGTCTACCTCTCTTCTCAGAAGACTATCCCTCAACACCTGCTGCTGACATTCTCCCCTGTAGGAGCGGCCTTAGCTGAGTGCCTGCCACGTCAGTGTTCAGCAAGGCCCTAGCTCCAGTTCTCATTTGTAAATGAGCAATTTATGTGGAATCTATGTACATGTAAACAAAAATGTAGTTATCATATATTTGTTTGGTCTGCCTGTCATTGCCTTTCCCACTTGCTGAATCATTCAATTCTTCTGTGGACATCCAGTCCATGGTGGATCTGACTAATGAAAAGGGATAGGCACGCACAGGAAAGAAAATAAAGTTAGCTTTCCTGACTCTCTTCCTTGGGCCTTCTTCCCTTCCTGTGACTCTGAGCCCTCCCTCTCATTTATCTTTTTTTCCACCAGCATTTATTTATGTGTTTTTTGTTCATTTGGTGAGACTGGGGTATGAACTCAGGGCTTCCTACTTGCAAAGCAGGCACTCTACTAATTGAACTATATTTCCAGTTCATTTTGCTGTGGTTATTTTGGAGATGGGGTCTTGGGAACTGTTTACCTGGGCTAGCCTCACACTGTGATCCTCCTGATCTCAGCCTCCCAAGTAGCAGGGATTAGGTGTAAGCCACTGGTGCCCTGCAACATTTATTTATATATATATATTTTTTTCTTTTATTCATATATGCATACAATGTTTGGGTCATTTCTCCCCACTTCCCCCTATTTATATTTTTTAAAATATTTATTTATCTTTTTTTTTTTTTGTGGTACTGGGGTTTGAACCCAGTTCCTACACCTTGAACCATTCCACCAGTGTAAGGGTATGTCCTTTGAGCCCTTCTGGGAAGTTCTACTTTTTGGATACCTACTCTAATCCCAATCTAGGCTAAACGCCACTCCCTGGATAATGTTTTGTTGCTGTTTTTTGTTTTTTGTGAGACTGGCAGGTACTCTACTGCTTGAGTTATGCCTCCAGTCCATTTTGCCTTGGTTAATTTGGAGATTTGGTCCCACAAACTATTTGTCCAGGCTGACCTCGAACTGTGGTCCTCCCAAGTAGGTAGGATTACAGGCATAATCAACCAGTGCCAGCCTGGATGATCTTTTTTTTAGAGAGAGGGTCTCAAGGTATAGCCCAGGCTAACCTTGAACTTGAGATTCTCCTGTGCTGTGATTTGTAGTCATGGACCTTGACGCTAGGCTGCTGTTGCTGCTTTCTTCTTTTTGCAGTGTTTGGAGTTGAACCCAGGGCCTCACACATGCTAGGGAAGTGCCCTAAGACTAAGCCACGTTCCCAACTTTCTGAATAATCTTTTTATGTTTGTTTGTTTTTGTTTTCGTTGGCACTGGGATTTGAAGTCAGGGCTTTATGTTTGCTAGGCAGGTGCTCTACCACTTGAGTCACTCCACCAGCCCTGTTTTTTATTGGGTATTTTTGAGATAAGGGTCTCCAGAACTATTTCCCCAGACTGGCTTTGAACCTCGATCCTCCTGATCTCAGAAGGTGCCCAGTCTGAATAATCCTTAAATACAATTTTCATTTGTCTTGCCTTTGCTCAACAGCCTACTTGTGTTTTCCACAGCAATCCTGTGAGCACCATTAACAGAAAAGGAAACTAAGGGCTTAAAGAAGTTCAGAAGTTGGGTACCACCAGTGACTCACGCCTGTAATACTAGCTACTTGGGAGGTTGAGATCTGGAAGATCACAGTTCGAGGCTAGCCAAAACAAATAGTTCACAAGACATAATCTCCAAAATAACCAGAGCAAAATGGACAGGAAATGTGGCTCAAGTGGTAGAGTGCTTGTTTTGCAAGCAACAAAGTTCAAACCCTACTCCCATTTAAAAAAAAAAAAATTCAGAAACATGTCTAAGGTTATACATAACTTTTCTTTCTCTCTCTTTCTCTCTCTCTTTCTCATTCTTTTTTGGTGGGACTGATGTTTGAACTCAGAGATTCATGTTTCCAAAGCAGGTGCTCTACCACTTTAACGATGTCCCCAACCCTATACACAGCTTTTAAATGACAGAACACAGAACAAAAATTTTCAGCCAGGGTTGGTGGAATGGCTCAAGTGGTAGAGCGCCTGCCTAGCAAACATGAAGTCCTGAGTGCAAACCCTAGTACTGCCAAAAAAACAAAAAATAAAAAAATCAAGCTGGAAGCTGGGCATGGTGTTGAGGCTTGGGTAGGCCGGGGCAGAATGATCTCAAGATTGAGGCCAGCATGGGCTACATATCCAGTTCAAGGCCAGCCTGGTTACATAATAAGACTGTGTCAAAAATCTCCCACCTCCCATGTATAAGGCCCTGGGTTTGATCCCCAGCACCACAAAAGAAAATATATGTATATTTTTTTTTACTCCCTCTTTACGTCCCCCAAAAAAAATCATGCTGGAAGCTAAGGTGGTGGTATATATCAGGAAGCAGAGGCAGCAGGATCATAAGTTTGAGGCCAGCTTCGTTTACACAGCAAAACTCTCTAAAAAAAAAAAGTATAGAGATATAGCTCAGTGGTTTAGTATTTGCCTAGAATGCATGAGGTCCTGGATTCAATACCCAGCACTGCAAAAAATTAAAAAAAATAAAAACAAAGAGAGAGAAACAAATTCTAACAGAGGGAAATTTTGCAAAATATGGTGGTTAATCTTGAAACTTGACTGGATGAAAAAACACCTAGGAGATTAGTGCACTTCTGGGTGTGTCTGTGAGAGCATTTTCAGAGATGATTAGATCATGAGAGGTCTGACCTAACAAATTAATTCAGAGCTGATGATATTATTGGGAGTTAGTGAAAGGAAGAAGGTGGGCCTAACTGGAGGAAGTAGGTCCCTGAGGATATATACTGAGGATGTGCTCTGTCTGGCCTTTACTATGCTTGCTTTGCTCTGCTTTCTGTCTGCCATGGTGCAAACCACTATGTCCCTGCCATGGTGCAAACCACTATGCCATGATGGACTGATACCTCTGACTGTGAGCCAAAACAAATACTTCCACCCTTAAATTCTTCCTGTCAGGCATTTTAGTCCCAGTGAAGCAAACTGACTAATGCTATACCTGATCACCTGCACAAAACTGTAACGGTCATGAAAACAAGAAGTGTGGGTAGAGGTATATCTCAACCACTACTACTGCATGTCCAGCAGGCAGGAAAATCTGAATTCAAACTCTGGTACTACTGGGTGTAGGCTGCTCACACCAGTAAAGCTAGCCACTCAAGAGGCAGAGATCAGGAGGATGTGATTCAAAGTAATGAGACCCTATTTTGAAAATCCTGAACACAAAAATTGCCTGGTGGAGTGACTCAAGAGGCAGTACCTGCCTAGCAAGTGTGAAGCCCTGAGTTCAAACTCCAGTACTGCTCCTGCACAAAAAAAATCTGAGAAACTACCACAACCAAGAGGATCATAAGAAAACATGATGACTAAATGTCATATGGTGACTGAAAAAAAATTATATGGATTCATCTTGATATGACTATAGTCATCTTGAGTCATAACCACAATATTTTCCCCTATGGTTTCCATAGTTTCCCACCAAATAATAAACAGATAAAACAATTAGAAGCTGACTATGGTGGCTCACGCCTATAATCCTACCTATTTGGGAGGTGCAGATTAAGATTGTAGTCCAGGCCTGCCCAGGCATAAAGCAAGAAGCTAACTCAAACACAAATAGAAAAGGGCTGGGGGTGTGGCTCAAGTGACAAAGAGCTTGCCTGCAGTTCAAACCCAGTACTGCCCCCCACCTCCCCACATCTGCCCCCAGCAAAGAAAATTAAAGTCATATGAAAGGTTTTATGAACAGACCCTGACTCCAGGAATTTACCTGACTCTTGATAGGAGCTTAAAATAAACCAAGTCTATTCCAGCAAGAATGAAGTTACTTTTGTCCTAAACCATTATGTACCTTTCTTCTGATTCTAATTTTGGGGATCCAACTGATCTTAAGGTCATCAGGTCAATAAATTGCACTCTATGCAATCCTAGATCTGTCTGCCTAGCTTTGGTCTCACAGTGGCCCAGAGGACTGGTCTTCATATGCTAGGACTGAGTTATTGTACAACTAGGACATTAGGCAAAAACTAAAGAAATCTTAATAAATAAAAAAGTGTGGAGTCTCATTAACAATCGGCCTCATATTAGTTCATTGGGGCTGAGGGTGTAGCTCAATGGTAGAGCATGTGCTTAGCATGGGTAAGGCCCTGGGTTCAATCCCCAACACACACGGACAGACACTCACAATTCCTGCATTAATTATAACAAACATACCGCACTATGTAAGAAGTTTATAGTGGGCAAACCATGTGTAGGGCATGTGGAAACTCTGTACTATCTTTAATATTTCTGTAACTCTAAAACAGTTCTAAAGTTTATGGAAAAGTGAAAGCCAAGTTGGGAATGAATGGTGGTGTGTGTCTATAGTATCCAGTTTCCTGGGTTGCTGAGGCAGGAGGATCACTTGAGCCTAGGAGTTTGATAGCAGCACCACAAAAAGAAATTTAAAGAATAGTTGGCCTGGATGAGGCACTGTGAGGAATAGATCAGAGGACCTCAAGCAAGCAAGGCAAGCACTCTACTACCAAGCCACACTCTTAAGATAGTGGTTTCAGCCCGGTGAGATGGTGCATGCCTGTAATCTCGGTACTCAGGAGGTAAAGGCATGGAGATTTCCAGATGAAGGCCAGCCTGATCTCAAAACAGCAAGCCTGGAGTCTGTGGCTAGCACCTGTAACCCTAACTAATCAGGAGGCAGAGATCAGGACACTGTCCCTTGAAGCCAACCCTGGAAAAGTAGTTCGGAAGTCCCTGTCTCTGAAAAGAAAACCCAACACAAAAAAGGGCTGGTGGAGGGACTCAAGTGGTAGAGCTCCTGCCTAGCAAGCCCAAGGCCCTGAGTTGAAACCCCAGTTCTGCAAAAGCAAAACGAAAAAACTCAAACCACAAAAATACCCAAACCAGAGCAAAATGGAGTGGAGGCACGCACAAGTGGTAGTGCTGTCTGCCTTTCCTACATGAAGCCCTGCGTTCAAACTACAGTCCCCCTCCACGAAAAACCCCACGAACAATCTTTAAAACTTGGTTACATGGTCCTATATATAATCATTAAATCAAGTTTGTAAAATAGGTTTTTTATTTTTGTAATTGTAGAAGAAAAAAGACCATTGCTGAAACCCAACATATAGGTTACGGCAAACCTTGCGAGCGAGAAAGATGGAAGTGGAGGGATTTCAGATTGGGAGACAAAAAAGGATAACTTCTGGTGTTGCGTGGTGGGGCGCGGGGAGCGTGGAGAAAGGTGAAGGAGAGGCATTAAGGATGATCTAGCTTTAAGCATGATCGGGGAGCCATGCAATTGAGAATGGGAATCCTGGAAGAGATTAGGAAATTTGTCTTTCCCAAGGACTGTTTCATTACTTTACTCGGGTAAGAGGGAGCTGGCAATATTGAGGCCTGGGGCTGGGACTCGGCAGCTCCTTGACCTTTTCTACAGCTCTGTGCATATCTAACGATGGGTTCACTTTACAAGGCATCCACCCGCTGTAAGCTCAGACAACAAGGGGAGTTCTTCTGGGCGTCTCAGGCCTTTGCCCTTCTGCCCCGCCCCCAGAGGTCTTTTGCAGGCTTTCTGCCCCGCCCCGCCCAGAGGACTCCGCTCCGCCCCCAGAGGAACCGTTTCCTCCTAGTCTAGTCGGAGCACAGCGACTGACAAATGTGCTGTCCAATCACCACGCCGAGTGGCCGCCTAATTACCAATTAGGCGGTAGCAGAGGCGGGTGCTGAAGTCTGGGCAGCGGGCTGAACAAGGAAGTGAGACTGAGAAGAAGGGAGCGTCGAGCCCGGGCGGAGGTGGGAAGGTGACCCGACCTCTGGACTTCCCCATCAGCTCCTTTCCCCTTTATTGGGTCAGGGGTCCCTTTGCATGTGGGAGCTAGGACCTCCACCGGTCCCTTCTTTGGAGGAAGGGGGTGTGTCGACTTGGGCGTTTGAGGCTCTTGAGCTCCCTTCCTCTTGCTTTGCTCAAGGGGGTCCTCCCCGGGGGGCGTTATCCTGTGGGTGTTAAAGTCCTCTGGACTGTGGACCCGGGAAAGGGAGATGAGTGATGGGGATGTGAGATTTGTGGACTCTGCCCTCTCCAAGGAGTTAAGACACTTCGCGAGGTGCGGCCGCAGGTAGTGCGAGGTGGAGGAGCCCAGGACTCAGATTATTGAGGACACAGGAGCAAGTAGAAGCCTTTTCGAAGTCGGGGTTTTGGTCGTTTCCCAAGCGGGTGATGTGGGTGGCTGGGCTCGGGCTCTAAATCCGGTCCCCTTGGACCCGGACCGTCATTTTACTGCCACTTTTCTTTCTCCTCAGGCTTGAGGCAACACCTGACAGACATGTGGAATCCCAATGCCGGTAAGGGTTTGGGGGAATCTCCTCTCTCTCCGCACCGTTTTCTGTTTTCTGATGGGCTACAAAATAGGAAGTTTCTGAATCTACCCTTCCCCGCCCAGCCTGGGACATGTCCCAACTGAGGTTTGTTTTGTTTCCCTAACTTCATTTTCCTCATTGCCATTTCTCCTAGAGAACTTTTTTTTTTTTTTTTTTTTTTTTTATGGCAGCGTTGGGGTTTCAACTCAGGGCCTCCCACTTGCTATGCAGGCATTCTACCACCTGAGCCACTCCTCCAGCCCTCAACTTCCCTTTAAGTGTCAAGAAAGTCAAGCTTTTGTGGTTGGTTCTTGTCAGAGGTTCTGGGCAGTTTTAATCTTTATTCTCTGGTTTTTCCACCAGGGCATCCAGGGCCAAATTGGTATCCCCCCAACGTGGGGTGCCCAGGATGTTCCAGTCATGCCTATCCCCCACCTGGCCATCCAGCCTTTCCTCCTGGCACATGTCCCCCACCCCCAGGGCCAAATCCGGGTTTCCCTCCCGGTGGGCCCCATTGGCCTGTGCCACATCCTGGACATCCAGGACGCAGATGGCGACCCTCAGGTCCCCATCATCATCCATACCCACCACCTCCACCTGGCATGTGTCCCATGAATCCCCTGGCTCCAGGCATGGTAGGCCCAAGGGACAAGAAGATGTGGAAGAAATTGAAGAAGGCTCATAAAAAGATGCACAAACACCACAAGCATGGCAAGGTCAGTGTTCTCTGGAGTTTGGCTAAAGAAGGGGTGCCCCTTGGAGGGTCTAGGTGGGCAGGATCTTGAGGAGGGGATCCACAGTCTGTGGATATGGGGGATGGCAATTGTGTTGCTCTGGTAGATACTTCTCTTCTGTAAAGGAATCCTACTGGGAGAAATCTAGTCATTATGAAGAGAATTATCAGACCCCATCCTATCTGGTAGAGGAAAACTTAGCCTCACAATGGATTTCAAAATCAAAAGTTCCCAGAACTTTTGCCTCTCTTACCCTTTAGGTGTGTGCTCTAGCAAAGGTGGACACACCCGCAGAGGTTGTCCAAATGTCAGTTGAGTCACTCAATCTATTCACAAAGCAAAGTCCTGTATAATAATTAACAGAATAATAATGTGGCCTGGAGTTCCTTCTCTCCTTCAGTATTCCCAGATGCTGGGCTAATTCCTTAGGTGTTCCTTCAGTGACTCAGCCTCAAAGAAAAACCTATGGCTGAGGGGGTCTCACACTCAACCCCAAGGCAGTGTATGTTCCTTTTACGGAAGTGCTAATTAACCAGGGTGGGAGCACTTCTGAGGACTTGAGTATACCAACCTGGACCTTGAGGCCTTCAATTACATTTTACTGCCCAATATTTGTTTGTTTTGTGGATTTCGGCTGCAGTTCTTGATTCTGAGACATTGGTAGAAATGTGAAGAGAAGGAAAGGTGAGACTGAATAGGCGAGAAAACCCTGGAGAAGTTAAATGTTCTTTTTGGTGGTACTGGGATCATGAAGTCTGGCCTCATTTTGGCTGGGCTGGTGCTCTACCACTTGTGCCAGTCTACCAGTCCCTAGACTAAATCTTCATTTTTTTTTTTATTCATATGTGCATACAATGTTTGGGTCATTTCTCTCCTCCCCATAAGTCTAAATCTTCTCAGTGGTAGAGTTGATGGAAATATACATGTAAGGACCTTGAATAGGACTCCCCTGTTTTACCTCCCACCTTGCCCACTTCCTCCTGGGTGGAGCTAAGGAAAGGAGAGCAATATGCATTCACAGCTGCTGCTTCTCTTCTTAGACTCAGAATCTAGAGTGACATTACACAGAAGCTCATCAATAGGAAGCAGCTGTTTCCTAGCATGGTACTGTGCTTGTGCTTATAATGTATTCCTTGCCCAGGCATTAGTTTAGGTGTGGAAAGTTAAAATTTGTTCCAAAAGCTGGGAACCGGTGGCGCACACCTGTGATCCTAGCTAGTTGGGAAGCAGAGATCGGGAGGATCGAGGTTTGAAACCACCTGGGGCAAATAGTTCACCATCTAGACTCTACCTTGAAAAACCCAACAGAAAAAATAGGGCTGGTGGACTGGCTCTAGTGGTTGAGTGCCTGCCTAGAAAGCTCAAGACCCTGAGTTCAAACCCCAGTACTGAGGGAAAAAAAAAAAAAACCCTCTGAAAACAAACACCAAAAAACCCAAAACTTGCTCCAAAGCTACTATGGTCAATGATTTAGGATGACTTATTCCATTCCTGTGTGCTCATTACTGAAGGAAACCCTTGCTTTTGCTGTTTAAAGGACAGTCTGGTTCAAGATTGCTGCCTTTTGGGTACTCGGGTGGAGGTGGGGGACACCAAAGAAGCCCATGGAGTGATCAAAGGTCATTTGGATCTGATGCTATGTCTTTTCCCCTCTCCCCTTGCAGCATTCCTCCTCCTCTTCCTCTTCCAGCAGTGACTCTGACTGAAAACAGGGCCTGGACCATCCCCTCCAGACTCAACAGTTCTGCTCTCCCACCAAGCTTCAGCTGCAGTGTTGTACTGAGGAAAATTAGCCCTCTGCTCCCCACCCCACTCCCACCTGAGCCTTACCCTGCTGTTCAGCCCTGCCTGGCTAGAGAACATGGAAAGAGGATTGTAATGGGCTGGCTAGCCATGCTTGCCTTCTCCCTGCTTGCTAGATCTTGTATCTGAAGAGTTTAGCAGAGAAGCTGGTTTTTGAAGATGGTAAAGACAAGTTTAAAATCTGTAAAATGTGATTTTCTTTTCATTTCCTTTTGTAATACTTGTGGTTGGGAGATTCTGTGGAAATACCATGATGATGAAAAACTTGTACTTTTTGGTAATGATTGTACACTAGGGTGATTTAGTGGCATATTATTCCCAGCAGGCCTTTATTGATCACAGTGACCGCAAGGCTGTTGGGAAGTAGAGTCCATTTGGTTGATGAGCTCTTTTGGAACCTAGTCTGTACTCCTTAGTTCAATATGCAGTCTCAGGTCCTACTCTCATTCTCCAACTCTCGAGTCCAAATAAAGCTGTTTTTCATCTCTGTTCACCTGTGCCGTCACCTTGGCTGTGTCCAAGCACATTGGACTACTTTTACTACTCTTCCTCAGACCCTTTAGAGTTTATCAGGTTTATGGAAAGGAACCAGAGCATTAGTGAGGTAGTCATCACTCTAGTGCTATGTTTCTTCAGTGGGAGGAACCTTCAGAATTGGTTCAGGGTTCTCAGCTAAGTCTTATTGCCTTGCCTTACCTGAAGGAATGTAGGCCTACAACATGTTTTCCTATATGCTACAGAGGTTTTCATACAGCTACTAAGTAACTACGGAGTTTTTTTTTTTTTTTTTTTTTTTTTGGTGGGACTGAGGTTTGAACTCATGGCTTCTGAATTACAAAGCAGGTGCTTTATGTCTTAACCTACACCTGCAGTCCATTTTACTCTGGTTGTGTTGTAGATGGGGAAGCTCTTAAAAACTATTTCCCTGAATTGGCCTTGAACCTTGATCCTCCTAATCTGAGCCTCCCAAGTAGCTAGTGTTACAGGCATGAACCACTGGTGCCTGACAGCTACAGCAGTTGTCAACCCTGCTTGCCCATCATGTATGATGGCAATTTAGGGCTTTGCCCCCAAAGAGTACATCTGGCCTCAAACTCACTATCTTCTTGCCTCAGCTTCCTGAGTGCTAGGATTACAGGCATTATCACCACACCCAATTCTGAAATGTGCATTTTAAAGGAACTGTACAGGGCAGGGCATGTGGCTCAGTGGAGGAGTGCTTGCTTAGCACGATTAAGGTCGTAGTTCAATTCTTAGCACTGGAAAAAGAAAAAAAATAAAAACAACTGTATGATATTTGTACATTGTAAAATTGAGGGCCGCTAGCTCTTATGTTTGTTTCTGTGTGTGTTGTGTGTGGCACTGGAATTCAAACTTGGGGCCTCATGTTTGCTAGGCAGGTGGTCTTACTGTTTGAGCTACTCCACCAGCCCGTTTGTTTGTTTCTGAAACAGGGCTTTGCTATTATAGCCCAGGATGGTCTCAGACTCATCATATTCCTGCCTGAGCTTCCAGAGTGTTGGGAATACATGCTTGTTCTCCCATGCCCAGCTTCACTCACTAGATCTTAAGAACCCAGTGTGGCTGTGTGTGGTGTACATGTGTGATCTTAGCCTTCAGGAGCCTTAGGCAAGAGGATTGTGAGTTTAAGGCCAGCCTGAGCCACACTGCAAGACCCTATGTCCACCCCCCCCCACCCAAAAAAAATGGAGCAAAAGAAAAGCAAGGTTTTCCCTTTCATCCCAGAATCTCCCAAGGCAACCAAGACTTGGGATCTACGAGTAAAGTCCTCTGTTTTTATTTTTACCTTACACCATTCCTGTTGCCCCTCTCTGAGCACTGTATCAAGCAGGAACATACTGTTGGCTCTCTTTTGGAACTAACATTTTCTCATTTAACCATCTAATTTGGAGGTGACTGTAATTGGCTGTAAAGGATATATAACATGCATTATATATATGTTTGTATATCTAGAGAGGACTCTGTGCTGCATAATGACATCTCAGTCAAGGTGAACTGAATATACTTTGGTGGTCCCCTGAGATTATACTTCTTAACCTGGGCATGGTTGTACATGCCTGTAATCCTAGCTACTTGGGTGGCAGAGGCCAGAGGATCTTGAGTTTGAGCCCTGACCAAGTAATGTTAGCAAGACCCTATCTAAAACACAAAATAAAAAAAGTCCCAAAGGGGTTAGGGCATAGCTTAGCATGGGTGAAGCCCTGGATTTAGTCCCCAGTGTTGAGAAAAAAAAAATCTTAACTTTTGTATGCACATATGAATAATAAAAGAAAAAAATAAATAAAGGGCATTGTTTAGGATGAAAAAAAAATCTTTAAGTACATTTGTAGAATTTTAATTTTTGACAGTACAGAGATTTGAACTCAGCCCCTCACTTGCTAAGCAGGCGTTCTAGTACTTGAGTCACTCCATCAGTTGTGTCAGTGCATTCTGTGTGTTCCTATGATGATGAAATCCACTAATGAATTTCTTGGACCACTTCCCTATTCTTAAATAATGCATGACTGCATATATATATATATATGCATATATATGTGAAAAATTGTAGATTTATATATTAGTAGGATTTACTTCAATTTTTTTTTTTTTGGTATTCTTGGAGTTTGAACTCAGGGACTCATGCCTCTTTGGCAGATGATATACCACTTCAAACACTGTCAGCCCTGTTTTGTGTTGGGTATTTTCCAGATAGGGTCTCCTGAACTATTTGCCAGGTCTGCCTTCTAACTGTGATCCTTCTGATCCCTGCCTCCCAAGTAACTAGGATTGATTACAGGTGTGAGCCACTGTGCCCGGCTCAATCAGTCTTTTATTGCTGGAATTTTAGGTTGTTTCTGGTCTCAATATATTTTTAACTTTGGTAGTAAACAGAGATTGAAAAATTGGAGCTTGTGGCTATATCTGGCTCTGAGATTTTTGGACTGACCTTTCTTAAATATTAGACATTTAATAAAGATTCTGATTTGTCACCTCAAGCTATGTGGGAGGCTGATATCTGTAGGATTGAGGTTCCAGGCCAGCCCATACAAAAAAAAATATGCCAGATTCCCATCTCAACAGAAAAAAGCTGGCATGGTGGTACATGCCTGACATCTCAGCTACAGTGGAAGCATATAGTAGGATTACAGTTTACGCTGCCCTGGACAAAGAGTGAGACCCTATCTCTAACATAACCAGAGCAAAAAGGGCTGGGGGCCTGGCTCAAGTGGTAGAGCACCTGCCTATGTAGGAAGTGTAGAGCCCTGAGTTCAAACCCCAGTACCACACCCTGCCACATTTTTAAAACTACATTGCCTTTTTGAACAGACCACAGTACTTTTCTTACAGGATGTGCAATATTCTGGATTTACAGACCCAGAACTTTCCTTCTTTCTTTTCCTCCTTCTCTCGCCGCCCCCCCCCCTTCTTTCCTTCTCCCCCTCCTTCCCTCTCTTTTTCCTTTTCTTTTTTGGTGCTTGGATAGAATCTGGGGTCTTGTGTGTGCTAGGCAAGAACTCTGCCACTGAACTACATTCCAGCCCTCCTTCAGTTTTTTTGAGATGAGTTCTCAATATGTGATCGAGGCTGGTTCCAAACTCAGGATTCTCCTGTTTCAGTCTTCTGAGTGCTATGAATACCAGACTGAGCCGCCACCAGGAAACCACCTGTGGAACACCTTGTCTTGGTGTTTTAAATTTTCTGTAAATTGCAAATTAGATCTAATGGCTTAGTTAGGTTAAGATTAAACACTTTTATTAAGAATTCTTAAAGAGGGGGAGAAGTGGCCCAAACAATGTATGCACATGTGAGTAAATGTAAAAACGATAATAAATAAATAAATTGAGCACAGAAAAAAAGAGAGAGAGAGAATACTTAAAGAAGCAAGGACAGGTTGCTCAAGCCTGTAACCCAAGCTACTCAGGAGGCAGAGATCAGGAGAATAGCAGTTCTAAGCCAGCCTGGACAAGACCCTATCTTGAAAAAAAACCCTTTACAAAAAAGGCCTGGTGGAGTGGCTCAAGGTATACACCCTGAGTTCAAATTCCAGCACCAAAAACAAATAGAATTTTCAGCAAGGAAAATGATGTTTATGGACTGGGGGGTTGTGCAGAATAGCTCAGGGGTAGAACACTTGCCTAGCAGCATGTATAAATCCCTGGGCCTGATTCCAGCACTGTGAAAAGAAAAAAAAAAAAAAAAAAAGTTCTGGCCTGGTGAAGTGGCTCCTTGCTGTAGTCCTAGCTACATTGGAGGTGGAGATCAGGAGAATTTAGGTTCAAGGCTAACCCAGGCAAAAAGTTTGTGAGCTCTGGGATGTAGCTTGGTGGTTTGGTGTTTGCCTAGCATGCACAAAGCTCTGGGTTCAATCCAGTAACACAAAAACTAAAACGAATTTTGAAAAAAGTTCCTGAGAGATCTCTATCTCAACCAATGGCTAGGTGTGGGTGGACATGCCTGTCTTCCTAGCTACACTGGAAAGCACAAATAGGAGGACTGAGGTCCAGACCAGTGAGACCCTATCTCAAAAATAACCAAGTGGAACAGGGACATAGCTCAAGTGATAACAGAGTCTGCCTAGCAAGGGTGAGCCTAAATTTAACCTCTAGTACCAACACCACTGGAAAAAAAAAAAAAAAGTTAAGGAAAACTCAATTTTTTTTTTTTTTTTTGGTGTTACTAGGCTTGAACTCAGGGTCTACACCATGAGCCACTCCACCATTCCTTTTTTTGTGATGGTTTTTTTTTTTAAGTTAGGGTTCCACGGACTATTTTCCTAGCTCAATAGAACCTAGATCAAGATCTCTGCTTCCTGAGTAGCTAGGATTAGGATTACAGGCCTGAAGCATAAGCACCTGAAAAACTCAATGTATTTTGTCAAAAGGATAATGTCATTTGAAAAGAATGTGCAGCTTGTGGTGTGGCTCATATGGCAAGTACAAGGCCCTGAGTTTAAACCCTAGTATGGAAAAAAAAAAAAAATCATGCTGAAAGCTAGGCATGGTGCTGAGGCTTGGGCAGACTGAAGCAGAAGGATCTCAAGATTGACCAGCATGGTCTATAACCAGTTCAAGGCCAACCTGGATACATAATAAACTGTCTCAAAATTTCCCCTATTCTCATATATAAGGGCCTGGGTTTGAACCAAAGTACAACAAAAACAAAAATTGTAATCCCTCCCTACCCAAATCATGAGACTCTATCTAGAAAATCCTCCACACAAAAAAAGGCTACTAGCAAGTGTGAGCCCTGAGTTCAACCCCAGTACTGCTCCGACCTGAAACAAAATCTGAGAAACTACCACAACCAAGAGGATCATAAGAAAACATGATGACTAAATGTCATGTGGTGACTGAAAAAAAATTATATGGATTCATCTTGATATGATTGTAGTCATTGTTAGTCATAACCACCATGTTTTCCCCTATGGTTTCCATAGTTTCCCAGGCAATCATAAATAGATAAAAGAATTAGATGCTTACTGTGGTGGCTCAC